CTGACCGGTTTGATGTTAACTTGTGAGTAAGTGCAGTGCTGGCGATTGTGTAGTGTAAGTGGATTTAACAGTGGACAATAATAAAAATAATAAGCCTTGCATTTGATATAGCGCCTTATCACGTCATCGCCACGTCTCAAAGCACTTCACAGGAAACACTGTAAAGTGGGTGAATCGCGGCAGCCAATTAGCGCCCGGCAGTGAGTGTCCCACAAACAGTCGTGAAGTGAGTTGGCAGTTTTCTTTGGGGAACTGTTGGCCGGGAGAGAGAGCGAGAGAGAAACTCCCTTCTCTTTCCAAACAGTGCCATTGGATCTTTAACATCAGGCAGACCGGGCCTCGGTTTAACGTCTCACCTGAAGGACGGCCTCTCCGACAATTCTAACGCTCTCCCCAGCGCTGCATTGGAGAGTCAGCTTAGACTATGCGATTCCGAGTCCCCAAATTGGGGGCTTGAACCCACAACCCTGTGATTCGGAGCCGAGAGAGAGCTACCGACTGAGCCAGACCCCACAGACTCCAGCAAAAACTCCTTGTATGATTACAAATTCATCTCGTCTGACAAACTAGACTCCTTTGTGAATAACAATGATGGTGACTCCAGGCACCTGGTCTGGGCTCTCAATTGTGTGCTATGTTCGATGGGACATTGCATTTCGCAGCTGTGTCTGTGCGCTCTCTTCTCTCTCTCTCTCTCTCTATCTCTCTCTCTCTCTCACTCGCTTTTTTTTTGCATTCAAGCCGAGCGCGTAGTTTAGTCACAAGCTTCTCAGGCTATTGTGGGTCGAGGATTTTTTTTTAATAAGGAGACAAAGAGAGAAGGGATTGGTGCCAGTTTCAAGCCCATTCATCCCGAGTTTCCACCTGCTTCTGCGTCCAAAACAGAAACGTGAAGGGAACTTTAATACGGAGGCCATTTGCGAGATATTTTATTTCGAGCAAGCCAGCTCATCATTCTAATAATGCGGTCACAGCCTGTTAGAATGCTCAACCCGTAATACTGTAATCCTAATGAATTTTTAATGTATTTAATATACGGAAATATGTATTTGCAATACAGTCATGAGTAATGGTCTGTGTGCAGAGGAAAGTCTGGTACAAGTGCCAATAATTAAACCCCTGTAGGTTTAAAGATGTTTTTATTAATGTCCAGTTGTTTACATTCCTGAGGCAGAGGGAGCACATACTTTATTGTCAACTTTTTATATATTTAGCAAATGTTGGATGTGTATTTTATCCTCTTATTGGTCCTGTGCATGTGCTGCCTCTCACTCCTTTATGAATGTGGCTCTTTCTATGAATGTCTCTCTCTCTATGAATGAATTTGTTGTGTGTGTCAGAGTGTCTCTCAATGAACATGTCTGTGGGTGTGTGAGTGTGTGTGTGTCTCTCTCTGTCAATGAATCTGTGTGTGTTTGTCTCTGTCTGTGAGTGTGGCCGTGCGTCTCTCTGTCTACGACTGTGTGTGTGTCTGTCCATGAAAGTATGAGTGTGTGCCTCTCTCTCTATGAATGTATGAGTGTGTGCGTCTCTCTATGAATGTGTGTGTGTGTGTGTGTGCGTCTCTCTATGAATGTGTGTGTGTGTGTGCGTCTCTCTATGAATCTGTGTGTGTGTGTGTCTGTGTGTGTCTCTCGGTCTGTGTGTGTGGTGTGACAGCAGGGTGGGGTGGGTGTGGAGTGGGGGGGTGTGGGGGGGAGCTAGAAAGCCATCATTGGGCTGGGGTGAGTGATCTCTATTCTGCTGCACATTCTCAGGGCTGTGGGTCCGGTTGTTATAGTTACCAGCATCATCCTGTCTCTCTCTCTCTCTGTGTCTCTCTGAGCACCATGTGGTCGTGGTGATTAGCAGGGGAGGCTGGCGAGGAGCGAGGACCATTTCTAACCACAGCCTTGTCTGTGCCTCTCGCTCACTGCCTCTGTGTGTGTGTCCGGAGAGCGAGCGAGCCCTGTCGGGGGCTGCGTCCAGTGATGACCCCTTGCTCAGTAACCTGTTCCAGCCACTGACCCACTCCCTCCCTCCCTCCGCGTGGGTTCCCAACCTCGTGGATTATTTTGGGGGTGGATTTTTTTTCAACAACGCGAAAGATAAAAAAAAACAATTAGCCTTTTCTTTCCCTTTTTTTTTCCTCTTTTTTTGTTAAAATGTTGAAGTTGAAAGCTTTCTGTCTGGATTACTGGCAGTTTCTGTGTCTCCAGCCAATCCACGGCTTTTATAAAAGGTAAGGAAGGAGTTGTTGTTCATAACCTCGGGGGGTGGGTGGGGGGGAGAGAGTGAGATGGAGGGAGGGATCGAGGGAGAGAGAGAGGGAGGGTGATCACAGGCACCAGTGTGGGTTCGCGGGGCTGGTTTGAGGATAGTCTCTGAGCTGTACCTCACTGCAGATTGTCATTTCAAGGAAATTGGTTTATTGCACAGCGTGTGTGTGTCTCTGTGTGTTTGATCGTGTGTGCGTGTGTGTGTGTCTGTGTGTGTGTGTGTCTGCGGGTGAGTGTGTGTGTGTTTGAGTGTTTTCTCTGACTGTCTCTGTGTGAGTGTGTGTTTGAGTGTGTTTAGTGTGATTATGTGTAGCGTGAATGCATGTTGTGTGCAGTGTCAGAGTGTGTGTGTGAGAGAGAGAGAGAGAGAGGGGTGTGTGAGAGGATGTGTGTGTGGGCGTGTGTGTGTGAAGTGTGTGAGATGATGTGTGTTTGTGTAAGGGGTGTGTGTGAGGGGGTGTGTATGAGAGAGGGGTATGTGAGAGGGGTGTGCGTGCGTGTGTGTGAGAGACGGGTGTATGTGAAAGAGAGTACCACAAGACATCAATCACCGTCCCCAGTTGACAGCACAAAGCTTTCTTTGGCTTGTGGCGAGGGAGGCTCTTGTGAAGTGAGTTTGTTTTGATTGCGGAAAAAAAAGCTTTATCTCATCTTTCAAAGAAAGTTGTTTTTTTTCACCTGGTGAGAAAATGGTTTCAATTGAAGAAAGGAGAGACAGACGTATGTGTGTGTGCGTGTGTGAGTGAGTGAGTGTGCGACTAAAGTTACCGCTTAACCTTTCGAAACTCTGCTGATGTTTCTCAGGGACTGACTTCATCTGTTGGATGTATCTGTATCTGAGCAACTTCCTTGTAGTTAGAGATGCCAACGTGGTCCATTGTTGGTCCGTGGCTGCTATGGCACCACATTTACCATCACAGCCCATAACACAAAGCACCACAGCACAGCACAGCACACAACACCACACAACATCACAGCACACAGCACAACACACAACACCACAGCACACATCACAACACACAACACCACAGCACACAACACACATCACAACACACAACACCACAGCACACAACACACATCACAACACACAACATCACAGCACACAACACACATCACAGCACACAACACACATCACAACACACAACACCACAGCGCACAACACACAGCATACAACACACAACACCACAGCACACAACACACATCACAACACAACAGCACACCACAACACACAACACCACAGCACACAACACACATCACAACACACAACATCACAGCACACAACACACATCACAACACACAACATCACAGCACACAACACACATCACAACACACAACACACAGCACACAACACACACAACACACAACATCACAGCACACAACACACATCACACACATACACACATCACAACACACAACATCACAGCACACAACACACATCACAACACACAACATCACAGCGCACATCACAACACACAACATCACAGCACACAACACACATCACAACACACAACATCACAGCACACAACACACATCACAACACACATCACAACACACAACATCACAGCACACACTTTGCTGTTGTTTCTTGCACAATCACATCCGCACAATTTGCAAATTCCCCACTTTGGATCCCGCTGTCAGAGCATTTTATTAAAAGCCCTTCACCTCCCCCCCCCCACATTTTTCCTCCATGAGAGCTTGCAATTAATGAGGTTGTGGGGTGGGATGGGGGGCGGTCGGTGTGTGTGTGGGGGCGGTCGGTGGGGTGGGGGTTTTACTTGGGATGAATAAAATCACACAAAGACTTCAAATCCAGTCCATATTTTCCAGCAAGGTTCCTGATGGAGAGGACTTCAGAGTACAGTAAAATGCTTCCTGATTTGGTGTGTAATTAGCCAAGAGACTTGCACTATATAAAAGTCGGAGCCCAGAAATAGAGTCATCTGTGTGTGAAGTCAGTGCTTTCAAGCCTGCTATTTATAGTTTCTCAGAAGCCTTTTTAACTGGAAAAACTCGCAAATTCTAACTAACTCCATCCCAACATAACTCTGAATATTTTATTGTGTCAAACAAGTCTCTCTCTCTCTCCCTCCCTTTCTCTCTCTCTCTCTCTCTCTCTTTTAGACAGCTGGGGGGTTGGAATAGTCATCGCCAGATGATTCAGGGCGTATTGTTAAAAACTTTGCCGTCTTATGGTTAACGATGATATGTGTGTTTGAGTGGGGGAGAGAGATTGACAGAGAGAGAGAGAGAGGGAGAGAGGGGGGTGGTGGCACTCTGCCTTCTACACAGAGCTGGGCTGTCTGTCTCTCGCTCTCTTTCTCGCTTTCTACACACAACCCTCAAGGGACACAGTTTGGGGCTTTTACCTTACTTGGTAAACTTTGGGCATCACATGATTTCCAGTTCGAGAAACGCCTCCGAACGTTAACTGCACCGAGTCCAAGTCAGCCTCACGCCTCTCTTCCCAGCTCAATGCAGATCGTAAACTGAGAGAGTTATAAACTTTCTCTCCGGGGTTTAGGACTCGCTGACTGCCCTTTTTGTTCCCCCCCCATACACTTTTGGCTTAAATAAGTTGAGATGGAATTAGTTTCGAGATTTGCATGAGTCACTTTCTGGCTGTATTGAAATGTAATTATTGTAGATTCCCCACCTCCTCTCCCGCACCCCCCTCCCTCCCACCACCACCCCCTCGCTCGCTCCTCTCTCTGTGAGCAGCTCTCTCTGTACACAGTGTGAGAGCTGTGTGGCTGGATGTGAGACAGCAGAATGCTTGTGCTGCGATGTGGAGCCTAATGTGGAAGTATTGCATCTCTGTGAGGACCATCAGGTAGGAAGGAACGCGTGTACCCACTGCCTCTGCCTCCGCGCACACCTGTCTTGTCTCCTCGCCTCGTCTGCCGCTCCCTCACACCCCTCGACCTTTACAATAAGCATCTGTCAGGAATCTCCTCTGTGAAGCAGCTGACAGGCACTGCTGGCTAAATGGTTAAAGCTTAAAGTTAAAAAAAACTTAGTTAAACCGGTTGACGTTTTAGCGACACTGTTTGAAATTTTTTTTAAAGCCCTCCCTTTTAAAGCCCCTCCACTGAGTTGCCCCCACCCTACCTCGGACTCCTCCTAAACCCTTACCAACCTGTCCGCTCCCTCAGCTCAACAGGCACTGGCCTACTCCACGTCACCCTCCACCATTGGCGGTCCAGCCTTCAGCCTTTCTGCCCCCGCCCTTTGGAACTCCATCCTGGAGCCCCTCCGCCTCGCCCCTTCCCTCCCTCCCTCCCTCCCTCCCTCGCCTTCTTCAAGGCACGACTCAAGACCCTCCTATTTGACTGGGCCTTCGGTCACCCTCCACCCCTCTCGTTCCAGCCCCCAGCTCGGGTGCAAAACCCTTGTCTATCCAGCGTTTTGGGACGTCCCCCCGATGTGAAAGGTTCTGTGTAAATGCAAGTTGTTGTTAATGGTATTCCCAGTGCCTCCCGTTAGGGAGGAGGGGGGTCTGATCAGCACCGCACCCTGGGACCATCCCATCTCCGCTGTTACGGATCAAATCCCAGGCTCTGAGTCCCATCCAACAACCTCCGAGCATTTTGTCTCAAATTTCTCCCCTTTTTTTATATATATGAAAAACAGTTTGGAAATGATTACAAGTGTTTGGGAGGCGAGTTACAGTCTAAAGGCTGACTGTTCCCTCCTCTGTCTCCTCTCTCTCTCTCTGGGGTGAGACTAAGACAACTGAGCACAAGTCTAATTTGCTAAAGTCTGCAGTCAATTAGTTTGTTGGTAGTTAATCACAAGGCTGTGTCTCAACTGTCTCCTCAACAACAAGAATAATAATAGTGATAGCAATACTAGAAATAATAACAGTAGTAGTAATAATACTACTAGTAATAATAGTAATAGTAACAATAATAGTAATACTAATAGTAATAATAATAATAATTGTTGTAGTATTATTGCCGAGTGATTATAATTTGAAAAATGAAGAATTAGGGAAAATCAGGAAATCCTGATTATCGATCTGCAAAGTGCACTTGTGGATGGATGTGACAATGTCAAACAAACATATAGATCCTGTAGTCGTCTGTGCGACTGGGACTGTTTATAAGACTATTCAGAAACGGCTTTGATCACATACCCCGTGAACAAGATATCAGCCTCCTGCAAAATGGAGCTCTGAGGAACCTCAGATACAGGGTGACCGACAAGTCGAGATATCTACTGTATTAGCCAAAGAAAATCATCATTTCTTTAAGACATATTAGACATTGTGATGGTATCTTGGTCACCGTCTGTATTAGGTAAAGTCACACCCAGATTCATAGGTAACGTGGCAGTGTTATTGGTCTAACTGAAAATCATCACTGAAAACCACTTCGAAACTACCTCTCCAGAGAGATTTAAACTGTAATAGCATCATCATCATAATAATAATCTTTGCATTTGACATAGCGCCTTACTGCATCGCAGAGACGTCTCGGAGTGCTTCGCAGGGTACACTATAAAGTGCAGTGACTGTGTGTGTTTCCGTGAATGAGAACGGGAGCCGGTTCTAACACTGCACAGTGTATTTAACGTCAAAGTTTTTTTTTTGAAGGTGTGTTTTCTGGCTCGGGCGCTGTGCTTTTCCCGTCTGTCTGAAAGCCGCCCCCAGTGGTCACCAGGATTGTTTGCACAAAGTCCAGTGTCCACAGTGGTGGGAAGGAGCCAAGGCTGAACTGAAACCAAACATTTCTTTTACAGACGTAACTGTGGAGAGAATGTTCGCCATGTGCAAAGTTCACACTGCAGGCAGGGGAGCTGTGCCCACTGTCCCCCCCTCTCTCCAGCCCCCCCCCCCACCCCCCCCACCCCGCACCCCAGGGATTAGGGATTTGGCTCCATGACTTACTTAAAGCAAAGGTGTGAGGCTGAGGAGGCCAGGGGCTGGGTTAGTGGTCTGGGCTTTTGCTTCTGTGCTAGTGTTTGAGGTACAGTGTGTCAGCGTGAGTCTGTGTGTGTGTGTGCGTCTGTCAATGTGTGCCTGTATGTGTGTCAGTGGGTGTGTGTGTGTCTGCTAGTATGTGTCTGCGTTAGTGGGTGTGTGCCCGTGTGAGTCTCTGTGTGTTTCTGTCTCTATGTCTCTCTGTGTATCCGTTGTTTGTTTGTGTGTGTGTGTGTGTTGGTCTCCGTGTGCCTGTGTATGTTGGTCTGTGTGTGTACGTGTTAGTCTCCCTGTCTCCGTGTGTCTCTGTGTCTGTTTGCGTTTCATAATGTTTCCGTGCCCCTCCTCAATGACCTCAGTGGTATGTGACACGGAACAGAGGTTATTTGGGAAGGGAAGAGCGGGGACTGGGAGCGCGGAGCTGGGAGTGCGGTGGCTGGAGCCCTGTTGAGGCCGGGAGGTTTGGAGCTGAAGATAACGATGGTATTACGCTGCGCCGTGAGTCTGGCTTCAATTAGTGGCCGGAGACTGATTCTCTGAGTCAGCACCTCCCGAGCTCTCGCTGGCCCAGGCGAGGGCTGCGGTGTTTAGGCTGCGCTGCTTTACAGGATGACTGTGCTGCGGATGGAACTTTTCATTGTTTATCTTTCCAATAGGCAACTGGAACATCTGATGTATTCAGTTTAGTCTGTTAGGGAGTTTTACACTAGTTTCCATTTGATCTCTCTCGCTCTCGCTCTCTCTCTCTCTCTCTCTGCCTTTCGGTCACAGTTGAAGAAAGATCACGTTACAGTGCCTATTTTTACAGTGTGTGTGTGTGCGCATTTGTGTGTATGTGTGTGTTTGTGTGTGCATTTGTATGTGCGTATGTGCGAGTGCGTGTGTGTGTGCAGGAGGATTATAATAATTCGCACATTTGATACAGTCCCCAATGAACAAATATTTTGAAGCAATCACCAGGATACTGCTATCAGATATAGTGACTGTGTGTTTGTTGGCAAATGTGGCAGGTAATTTGCACACAGCAATGCCCCATAAAATACTGAAGTCAGTCACTTATTAACCTGACAGATTGCCAGCCAGGGCATCGACAAGAGTGAAACTCCCTTCTCTTACTCCAGGGGCATCGAGAGCTAGAAATATAAGAACAGGAGGAGGCCATTCAGCCCCTCGAGCCTGTTCCGCCATTAAGATCATGGCTGATCTGTACCTCAACTCCAATTACCTGCCCTCGCCCCATATCCCTGACCTAACAAATGTCTGTCCGGATCTTTAACGTCTGCCTGAACAGGGCAGAGACGGGGCCTCAGTTTAACAGTGTCCCACCTGGAGGCCAACACTGCACTGGAGTGTCAGCCTGGACTCAGCTCGAGACCCAACTCTGGGGCTTGAACCTCAAGGCGGACAGATATATACTCCTCCCATGTTGCACACACGCTGACACACACACGCGCACGCTTGTTCTCGTGAGCGCCTGTTTGTGTGTTCGCACGCCTGCATGCCCGTCACACCCGGTCTGGGCTCTCCTCCCCGTCCCACTGCAGTCGTTTCGCTCGTAAAACACTCAGCGCAGGACTCGCTCAGTCGCACGTCAGCAAGCTCCGGAATGTGTCCTGTTTGTACAGCGTTTACCCAATCGGTCAGAGAGGCACCACTGTCATCCCAGGCCTCTGTGACCACAGATATCAATGCACCATTCAGAAGCGAATGGTGATACCTAACGTATATTTTATAGTGTGTGTGTGTGTGTTGTGTGTGTGTGTGGGTGTGTGTGTTGTGCGTGTGTGCTATGTGTCTATGTGTGTGTCTATGTCTCTCTCAGTATGTTCCCTGTAAGCCCTCACCACGGCTCTGATTGCCCTCTGTGTGGTATGGATTGGAATCACAAGCCAATTTATTCTGTCAACGCTGCTCTTTAATGTACCATACAGTGAGCTCAAAGGGTTATTTGGATGTTTAGAGAAGGAATGAATAAACAGCCCGAGTCCCTGAAATCCAAAATTCCACAGCCTTGAAATGAAGCCAGGAACAGATGAAACCCTCGTGCTTTTTATATTAGAAAACTATGGCCCATGGTTTCTGCGCGCGCGTGTGTGTGTGTGTGTTTGTGTGTGCGCGTGCACGCACGTGAGCATGCGTGTGTATTTTTTCTCGCAAGCGAGAGGGCCCAGGTTCGATTCCCGGGCAGGTCAAGTCAGAGCAAAACCTTAGGCAAGTTTCCTTACTGCACACACACCCCTCTGTTTACCAAGCAGTAAGTGGGAAACCACCCCCACCCCCCACCCCACTCCTCCAATTGCCTCGTCGCTCAGCTCTCCAACCCATCCCAAGTGTGTGTGTGTGGGTGGGGGGGGTGGAGAGGAAAAGGATATGGAAGGGGTGAAACAATTTCAATACAAATGAGCAAAGCTCCTCATCTGCTCCCAACCCCCCCCCCAAAACCTCGCAGATTGATCTGTTAATTAGCCACCGCCTGTGGAGGCGACTCTGTCTCCTGAGAACCGGCTTCTCAGCTGTCATCAGCCTGGGGCGGTCCTAGCGATGTGCCAGCCTGCACCCCCCCTGCCTGCCAGCCCACCCCGCCCGCCCGTCAGCCCCCAACCTCCCCCCCCCGCCTGCCAGCCCACCCCACTCGCCTGTCAGCCCCTAACACCCCCCCCCCGCCTGCCAGCCTACCCCACCTGCCTGCCCTGAGTGCCGGCAATTGGTTTATAGGTTTTTGTAACACTAATAATCCTGGCATTTGGTACAGCGCCTTATCGCATTATTGAGACGTCTCAAAGCTCTTCACGGGCTACGCTGTAAAGTGATATGGCACCTTGTGGGCCATCGTTGTGCTGAGCGACTGTGTGTTTTGTGGGCGAAACGTGGCAGCCAATTGCGCACAGCAGCGTCCCCACAAACAGCCG